TTAACAGAGTACCTCATGAGAAGAAATCGGTGGGAATTGGTTTCTCAACTCCCATTTCCCTTCCCACTGAAACTCACATACTCTCTAATCAAACAGTGGACTTTTAATCTCTTAACCCCTCAACTCCCATTCCCCATCTCTAATTCCCCCCAACCAAACACGCTGTTGGAGCCCACGTGTAAGCTCTATCTTCTTTATCTTCTCTTTCTTCTCTTCATCTCCCTACATCATCTCCCTCCCAAGCCAGAGAAGGGCACACCATTGTCGGAGCCATGGCCGACGCCGCCACAGACAGCCAGCAACAAGGCCAAGGTCGGCAGCCAGCACCAGGGCGGATCTGGGGCCCGGGGCGTGGCTTTTTTTAGTTATTACCTACCCATGTTTTCTGAATGGGCCCGGGGGTTAGCCCAAAACACAGCCAGGCCCTAGGCCTGGCTCTCCATCTTCACGCGCACGGCATAGCCCAACTCTCCCCCGACACCCAGACCTAACCACGGCCATGCAGTCACTCACGCACCGCTAGGTCCAGTGCGGCAAGGCAGCCGCCGCCGCCCGCCGGTGACTCCCCTCCGCTCCAACGCTCGCCTGCTCAGCCACGCCCTTCGCCGCTCGTCCACGGTCGGCCTGGCCCGCTCCACTGCTCGCCCCATCACCCGTCCCTTGCTCGCCTGCTCCGCTGCTCCTGCTCGACCGTCCGCTGCTTGCCTGCTGCCCTGCTCCGCCGCTAGCGCAGCCCAGCTCTCTGCCATGCCCAGCCCAAGACAGGATTGGTAAGTGGGCAAGTGCCTGATGTGCTGCTGTTGCTAGAAATCTTAAATATTGAACATTTTTAACCTGCTAGACTGCTATAATGTTTGGATTTGCTACTACAGACTGCTTATGGGGATATCAAACATTCAATATAACTTGAATTGTATTTGAATGTGAATATTGTTGTTGCCACTATTAATATAATTTCATTTCATTTTGTAGAAATAAAAGATGAAGAGATAATTTTCATCCTTGGCCGCAACAGAAGTGTCTACACCCATGCTTTTAGCTGGAGGGAATCAAGGGGCTGAGAGGATTGAAGCAACCCCAGAAAATGAAACAATGCAGAAATGGGACCACTGCCCTTGACTTCAAACGACCCGCCTTCAATCTCAACTTGAGAAAGTAACATCTTTGTTATTCTTGATTGTGCTCGTGGTCAACGGAAGGTGATATTCATCATGATCCTGGTCTTAGGAAACCTATTGAAAGCTTATATCTAGATATTAGAGATGTCGCTAGAAGGATGGATGTAAATATGGGTCCATGCCAACCAACTGGTCATAAATTGAAAAAAGAAACTAGAGGAAATTCTTTGAAAAAGAGGTCCTTTCAAGCTAAATGGTTCGGGAAGCATTCCAATTGTTTGGAATATAGTGTTGCTAAGGAGGCAGCCCTTTGTTTCTATTGCTTTCTTTTTAAGTAATCTAGAGCGGAAAACTATGGTGTTGAGGCATTCACAATAGTAGGGTTTCAAAATTGGTAGGATGGACTTAGTATTATTGATACACATGTTGGCAGTGCTCACAATAAAACTAGACAACAATATGTGGCTTTCAAAAATCAAAGGCAGTCTGTGGTAAATGTGATGGATCGTGCCACCATAAAGAGCCAAGAAGAATATAAAGCTCGTCTTATCATTATCAAAATATGAGAGAAAATGGTTGGGATCAGCTCTTGAAGGACACAACTGACTTTTGTGTTAAACATAACATTATATTGCCTAACATGGATGATACAATACTCGCTCGGGGTCGTTCAAGGAGGCGTGGTGGTCAAATGGTAACTTTCTATCAACGCTTCATATATGAAATATTCAATGTTCTGCTTGACCAAATAATTACTGAGTTAAATAACCGCTTTGCTGAAAGATGTACTCAATTGTTGAGATGCGTTGCTTGTCTTGATCCAAGGAACTCGTTTGCTAATTTTGATGAAGATAAATTTGTTCAACTTGCTGAGATGTATGCTGATGACTTCTCCATATATGAGATTTCTTTTGTCCTTAGAAACCAACTTGAAAACTTCATTGCTGATGTGAGAGCTAATTCAAGTTTTGTTAGTTGTAATAACCTTGGTGCTCTTGCTGTGAAGATGGTTCAAACTAATAGACACATGGTCTTTCCTTTGGTATATCGTTTCATTGAGTTGGCATGAGTGGAAAGAGCTTTCTCAGCTATAAGTATTATCAAGACTGAGTTGAGGAATAAGATGGGTGATGATTGGTTGAATTATTTCATGGAGTGCAATATTGAGCGAGAAATTTTTGCAAGATGATGATGCTATTCTATATCGCTCTCAATCTTATGCATTTCGCAAAGGAATTCTACCTCCTCGTAGTAATAAGTGTTCAACTTTGTACAATGTTAGTTGTTTCACTTGATGTTTATGTCTTCTCTTATGAAAGTTTGCTTTTTATTTATCTAAGGTGTTGGCTCTTTTTCCAGCATCGATCAAGTTATGGAAGACACTAATGAAGCAAGCCATTGATTTGGTATTCTTTTTACTGCACGTGTTCGTAGTTTTTGTCATCTTTTTATCTATTTTGTTGTATCTCTAAGCATTGAGTTTAAATTCTAAATATTTGGTGCAATTCGCTTATATTTGAAGTATTCTATTGAGGTAGCTATTGCTTGATGAACGTTAAGTTTTTCTCTCGCGACGAAAAAAAATTTAGGACTGGAACAAGACGAAAAAAAATTTAGGCCCGGAACTTGTTCCAGTCCTGAATCCACCACTGGCCAGAACCACGCCCGGCTGCCACTTGAACAGCAGAGGCGGGCGGCCGCAAGCAGCAGCAGCGAGCTGCGGCGGCGGCAAGTAGCAGCGGTAGTGAGCGTGCAACATGCAGCGACGACTGCTTTGGCTCCGACCGTGTTGGTGAGCTAGCTAGCTCCAGCTGGTCACGGTCGCGCGTAAGCTAGCTAGCTCCGGCTGACCGCAGTACGCACAGGAGCTTGCTAGCTCCGGCTGTGTCCGTCCGTGAGCTAGCTAGCTCCTGCTACCACTTTTTTAATAACATAGACCTGATTGTAATTTTAGAAAAGCTAATAGGACCTGGTTGTTTTTTTAAGTTACATTTTTTAAGTTATAGGGACAAGATTGCTTTTTTATAAAGTATTGCTTTTGTGGAAAAGTTATAGAGACCAGATTGCTTTTTTATTTTTTTGGAAGAGACCGACATGTGGGGTCCAACCTGTCATAACGGTCGAACTAACGATGTTGACATTTATGTTAGGACAGACCTGACGGGTGGGCCAACATTGTCATAATCATGATTAAAAGTAAACCATTCACTCACCAGTGTTTTTTGGAACAACCAACCAAAATAGTGGTAGATTGTTGAGAAATTAAAAAAATGATAAGGTTTTTTTGTAACTCTAGCCCTAAATATGTATTTTTTTTGCTATTTACTCCACCGTGGATGAAAGCAGCCCACCAGTCCTTTACAAAATATATTTCAATAGAAACTTTAAGTGTTCTAACTTTTGTGACATATAATTGATGTTAAATATTAGTAAAATTAGCAACTTAGAGATACGCACATGAGGCAGTATAAAGCAAATGCATGTGATGCCTCCATCCTGGAGCTGATCATGTTCGCTTGCATGGACCATTCCCAACGACTGAACAACATCTACTTTATTTCCCAAAAAAAAGAACATCTACTTTCACGTGCGTATTAATTCCTGGCTTCCTTGTGCCTCCGGCCAGCGGCTCCCGTAGCATCTTGATCTCCCCTTTGCCTAAAGCTTGCAACTTCTGATCATCTCGGAGCTGTAAAGACTACCGGTAATGACCCAAATTGACCATGACCCCTTCTCACAGTAATAGAATATATTATATATCATATGAGGAGTGATATGCATCAGCCGGTGGATCCTTCACGACGTGTCAGATCTGGCACAAATCTAATGCCGAGCGTCGTTCTTCACTTTTGCACCATACACTGTGTTATAGAACTTTTTTGCAAATGTTGCAACTGATATTTCTTACAAAGGTTGTGTTGTATATATATTTTTGCAACAGATATTATGTTGTAGAATTTTATTTGCATCAGAGGTTATGATCTAGAAATGTTCTCTTGCATCGTCGAGCTGCCACTGCAACATTACCCATCTTTCAGAAACATAGATGATGTTGCAAAAACCTTGAGATTTACGGTGGGCGCGGAGCGTAGAATCGTCCCGATGATTCTAATCATTTCTCATATCATATAACCAAGTTTTTAAGGAAAACTTTCGATCTATTCATCATCTGTGAAGGCAGTAAAAATACCACTATGAGTAAATATTACATCTACGTCTGTAGACCACCTAGCGCGATGAGGACTGAGCCGAAGGAGGACAGTTGGCGTCACCCCTCCCTTACTGGAGCAGGGCAAACATTGTTGTAGTAGACAATTAGAAAGTCGTGGTGCTAAGCCCAATAGGACCAGCGCACCAGAATAAAAACCGTTGCCGATGAAGAAAAGTGTAGAGTGAAAGGATCCAACCTGAAGACACATGAACACTAGCAAACATTGTTGGAGACAAATCGGCGGTGACGCCGGTGGGAGGCGGGGATACCCTAGTCGCCGTGTGGGGGAGGAGGTGAAAAAACATTTCCCCGTGAACCTTCCAACCTATATATCATATAGCCTAATATAATAAAAATATATGACCATGTACTAAGCTGCATGCGTGTTACCATGGAGTGAAATAAGGGGACCAATACCGGACCATGGAATAGGACCAGCATGCGTGCATGCACATGAATGAACCTCTTTTTGTACGTACACACCTGTCTAGCACGCGGAATGTGGCATGCAATGCAACTCTTGCAAGTAACGTATCTCTCTACGTAGATATAGCTAGCCCTGCTCTGCATCGGCCTCCACAATTCCATATATATGCATGCATAGATCAGTACTATCTGACTGCTATCCTAGCTATAGCAACCATATATCTTGCATAAATCAATCAATCGCAATGGCGGCGGCCGGCGGCAGCAGCAGCAAGAGGACGTGGGTGGTGGACGTGGAGAAGAAGCTCAAGGAAGCCGACAAGTCGGCGGAGGTGTCGCGGTGGGAGCGCCACTGCATCTACCAAGTGCCGCCCTGCATGACCAACATCAAGAGCAAGGCCTACCAGCCGCAGGTGGTGTCGCTCGGCCCTTTCCACCACGGCGACCGCGACCTGCGCCCCATGGAGGAGCACAAGCACCGGGCGCTGCGCCAGCTGCTCCTCCGCGCGAACCGGCCGCTCGACGACTTTGTCGCCGCCGTGGAGGAGGTGACGGAGGAGCTGGAGGGCGCGTACATGGACCTCGACAACGAGTGGCGTGCCGACGGCGGGGGCAGGGACCGGTTCCTGGCCATGATGATCTTCGACGGCTGCTTCCTGCTGGAGGTGATGAGGTGCACGGCCGCAGACGGGAAGCAGGTCGGCGACTACGCGCATAACGACCCGATCTTCAGCCCCCACGGGATACTCTACATGGTGCCCTACATCCGGCGAGACGTGCTCATGCTCGAGAACCAGCTACCGCTGCTCCTGCTTCAGAAGCTCGTTGAGGTTGAGAGCGGAAAGCCTCAGGTACCCTGCCTTTCAATACTGTTGTAAAAAAATATTAAACAATGAAAATTGCACACAGTAATTCTATAAAAAAATGAACAAAAAGGTACATTATAAATATTCCTCAAATTGTTTTGAAATATGACATGCAGTAATTCACATCATCCTAGTTAACATATATGCAATAATAGTTTTGTTGTGAAGGCCCCGTTGCCAAAAATTTAATTATGTAAAAAGTGGGATGCTAAATCTCAGGCGATCGAGACTTAACCAAGTCTCATGCTTTATTCTGAAGATCTTACATGAAGATTTGTACAAACATTTCTTCACTGAAACTTGATTAAGTCTCAGTCGACTAAGACTTAGCCACACCCATATAAAGTAGGGCACATGGTTATACTACCTTTGATCCATATTATTTGCCCTAGATTTATCTAGATATCGATGTATCTAACAGACAAGTAATATGGATTGGAAGGAGTATGCATATTGCCTAAATTTACAATTTGGGTAAGTCAATTTCGTGATAGAAGGAAGAAGGAGGCATGGCAGACCTTCGAGGTCGAGACAGAGGGGTTAGCTTCTCTTTTTTTGAGAATTACAGAGGGGTTAGCTGTCCTGTGTTTATTTGCTCCTGCAACCAAATGAGGCCTTAGTGTTGATTCCCACCTGATTTAGAGCGCCCCCTCGCTGGAGGCAAGGACGGCATGGTGAGCTGCAATGAGGCCTGCCATCATAGACGGACGAGAGGAAGAGAGGTCGAAGAGGAAGAATAAAAAAAAGAATGATGGAATCCAACATCCCTGAAAATTGACTTACCCAAAATAAAGTTTCAGGCACAAAAATGGGTGTGCTTCGGGACACACCTTTCTTTTTTAGTACACAGTAGATATGTAAGCTGACTGATTTGCAATTTTAGTACTACCTACTATGCCGAGCTGAGATCGGCAGGACACCACCTTGCTTCTCCTGCTAGCTGCCTATTTTCCACCCGTGTCGCTTGTTTTCTCTTTAATTTTGGGCATGTTTGTTTTGTTGCCCCAGCAAACTTATAATTACTTTCGTTACACCTGAACATTTTATATGGACTCGTGATGGTTGATTTATCTATAAGGCGACTATTTCAATGGTGTCTCTTTCTCTTCAACTAATGGATGTTGATGATTGCATGCATGGATGATGGCCAGAGCGAAGACTTCATCAACCGAATGGTGCTGAAATTTCTGGCCCAATCATCTGGGACACTACCAGCAGGCATCGGCCTAGGGCTCCACCCGCTGGATGTCTTTCGCCGGAGCATGCTCACTGGTAAGCACCACAAAATTCGGAGCCCCCAGGACATTGAGGACGACAACGCTATCATCCGGTCAGCAGTGGAGCTCTACGAAGCTGGGATCCAGTTCAAGCCGAGCAAGACGCTGAGCCTGCACGACATCCGGTTCCGGCGCGGCACGCTGAGCATGCCGACGGTGTCGGTGGACGACTCCACGGAGTACATGTTCCTCAACATGATGGCGTTCGAGCGGCTACATGCTGGAGCCGGAAATGACGTGACTGGCTACGTCTTCTTCATGGACAACATCATCGACTCGGCCAAGGACGTGGCGCTGCTGAGCTCCAAGGGCATCATTCAGAATGCCATCGGCAGCGACCAGGCCGTGGCCAAGCTGTTCAACACCATTTCTAGGGACGTGGTGCTCGAGCCCAACAGCGCCCTCGACGCCGTGCAGCGGCAGGTGAACGGCTACTTCCGGCAGCCGTGGAACATGTGGCGCGCCAACCTCATCCACACCTACTTCAGGAGCCCCTGGGCGTTCCTCTCCCTCGCCGCCGCCATCTTCCTCCTCGGCATGACCATCATGCAGACCGTCTACACCGTGCTGCAGTTCTACGGGGGCGACAGCAACAGCCCACCGCCATCGGCACCATCTCCCATGTGATCCGCCGCCGCAACAACTTAATAACTAGTACCTGCTACTCGGTCCTGCTGCATGAATTCGTTTCGTTTTCTGTTTGAGGTTAATGTTGTTGTCGTACATCATCAAGCCTCTGGGTTATCTACACTGTGCAGGAGCGAAGATAGCATGTGTTGTGTCGTGTTTGTGACTTTGTGTGGCGTTCGTCATGATTCAATTTATTTTTGCAATTCTACATGAAACACGATCATTGCTGAGTATTTGGGCGTGTCCCGGTGTAAACATTACGCCCTATGACCAATGGGTCATTCCTCCCCTAGAGAACAAATTCATGAGGGGGAACCTCCCCATCTGACGTTCGACATGTAATGGGATCCTATGTAAGCTGCTAGCTAATTACCTAGTGTTGTTGCTTGAGTTCATGTTCGTGATGGTGGTCGATCATCACTGCTTAAGAGTTGAGTTAGGTGTCATGGCTTGAGTCCGCCCGTATACCCTGGGTCTGGTTTGGAGTTTGCTAGTGTTGCCGATTGAATTCACGTTCAAGAGTTGTATGTGCAGGTGATGGATATCGTCACCTATTAAGTGTTGAGTTTAGGGATCTAGGCTTAGGTTTGTGTATGTATACACGGACATGTACGCGAGCTTTGTAACTTGCGAATTCAGAGTTTAAGAAATACTAGTTTGTGATATTTTGATGTGATTTAACCATGGGCGAAAGCAAACAATGAGACACCACACTCTCGATGAGATGCCCAAGAGGATAACTGGCTCGGGGAGGATAGGTGTCACAACTTTGACGAGAGAGTGACTCCGACAATAACATCCCCCGAGTCACCAGGAAATCGTAGCGCCACGAACATGAAAACCAGACCTATGCTAGGTGACGGCACTAAACTGATGTAATGACGCGACACAATGAAAGTGACAGGATGGATGTGGTCCGCAGACAGAATACCAGAGTGAGCCATCCAACACTAATTATAAAGTACTATTCGGCTGGAAGGAGAAAAGGTAGGTGGGGACCATGTATGTGGTGACTATTTGTGGTGTGGAGTCTGGTTGGGAGGAGAGAGAGGAGAGTGGGACCATGCATGTGAAGAGAGAGAAAAGAGAGAAGGACCACGCGGACGCTTTTAGTTGGTCAAGTGAATGTTCGGACTCTGGTATATCTCCCCTACTTTTGTCTCCACTTTACCGGTAAACTGACATACCCACCACTTGGCGAACCGATACAGGTCCCTATTGGATTACAAAAGTGAACAAATATGTCCGATAGAATATATACCGGAGCTTTGCGAGTCTCCCTTGGAGATACCCTAGGACCGCTCTCAGTGCTCCACCATGTCACTATCTATATGCAATACTCCTTTGTTTTTGTATACAAAGCCATCATTTTTCTCGTGCAAAATTTCGACTTATATTTTTTGTCAATAAAATATGGCTTATATGTCATCAAAAATATATGATCGAAAAATTCTTTGAAATGAGCATTCAATGACAGACTTTTTAGGTGCATGAACAATTCCTCATAATCCTTGTAGCACAGTAATATGGTCTCGGCCAATTTTTTATGGCAGGTCGGGAATTTATTCTCCAAAAGCTTGCCTGTTCTTAGTGCATAAACCCTTGTGATCATTTCGTGACCTTTCGCATGTTGTGGCCGGAGTGAAAACCGTCGAGGTTGCTCAAGCAAGGCGTTGCCCTTTGTGCCTTTGTCGAGGTAGCCGAGAGCGTGGGGCAGTGTAGCGGTGATGGAGGTAGTCGTGCGAAGGACGCTGTGGTCGATGTCGAGTCAGAGTTGCCAGCGTCGAGGTAGACACATGTGGAGCCGTGGGCACAAGGAAGCGTTCTGTAGTCAGGGGCACGGTCGTGCGCCAGAAAGAAAACAGTGATGCGATCCAGGCAATCAATATGGAGGGTGTTGATGCCGAAGGCGATATTATCGAAGCCGTTGTAGACGAGGTGTCGCACTGGGGTTGCCAAGCTCGGGGACACGTCAGGGATGAAGGCAGGGGACGGTGTTGTCAGTATCGGACATGCGTAGACGGGGATCAATATGAACTGTTGCCATGTCAAGGGACCAACAAAGGAGGCCTCCAAGAGAGCAGTGGTGCAAACATGCATGGGATAGAAGGTGGCGATGTTGCTCACGGTTTCCAAAGTAGACAAAGTGGTTGGGGAAAAAAATGACAACACTGGCAACGAGTGTGTGCTAGACGAAGACGAAAGGTGGTCGGCGGAACCAGAGGTGGCCTGAAGGGGCCACGTTGGTTATCTGTAGAAGTGTGGAGGGTATGCTCGAAGTACACCGGGAAAAACCCAAAAGCATGATGAAGACCATGCGTGCACAGTGGTGATCCTGTGCGTAAACAGGTGACGCAACGAGCACCATGCTAGATGTCAAGGTGCGTGAACGACTAGGTGGACTGCATGTGGGGACACTATGGCTCGTAGAAGTGACATAGCTGCAGCCGTGTCTTGGTGTAATTAGGGAAGGACCTCGAGGCAGCGATGCTGCGATCGGAAGAGACGACAAATCGACAACCCAGTGCTCGATGGGTGAAGAATTGTGCATACTTGATGACGACTTTCACAGAATCCTACGAAGGTGCACACCCGCAACTGATCAGACCGGAAGTATGAGGTGCAGGACACCGCTGGAGGACACCGGCGGTGGCCGCCACCAACACGTCCAACTTGGCTGCATCAGACGTTGTGCAGGAGGCTGATCAGACAGGTGCATGAATGTGAGTAGCCACACCTGCAAAGGATGCAACCTGTGCCAAGACCTGCATCGCATGAGTGGCTCGGGCCACGCTGTGCGGACGAGAAGCCAGGGCAGGACCCTGCGAGCGGCTGCCACACCAGTGCACACGCGCCACGCGTGAAGCCCAGGGTGCCATTGAACATGATGTTAGGTGCCAAGATTCGACGGGTGGCGGGCAACAAAAACTGATCTTAGATCAGAAAAAAAAAACAATCAAGCAATCTACAAGAGAAAAAAAAATCCTGATCAATGGATCAATTAAAAACTCTAGAGCAACCAATCAACACGATCGTTGAACAAACCCTAGCTACGGTTGTGCAGCCCCCAGGGGAGATCATGGAGGTTGACCTCCTCGGGGGCAGCACGTGGAAACTATGGTGGAGCTAGCAGAAATTTGCGGTAGATACCATTTAAGAGGATTAGAGGGAGGAGAATGGTGAAACCGTTGTTGTATTGCTGAGCCCCGTGGACGAGTATAGATAAGAAGACATCGTAGAGAAAAGGTAGGAGAGAGGTATGAATCCTATATTATCAAATACACTAATTAAGTATGTTGTCGCATTTCATCATGTTCAAGTCTTGTCTGTGAGGTGATGGAGACCATCACCTGTTAAAAGTTGAGTTAGGTTCTAGGATTGGGTCTATGTAATAGTCAGTATCACAGTGTTCAGCTTGGAGTTTGCCAGTTAATTACCTAGTGTTCCTGCTTGAGTTTATGTCCAAATCTTTTCCATGTAGATGATGCAGTTTATCGTGAATTAAGAGTTGAGCTAGTTGTCCATAGGCTCAGGTCCGTGTAATAGTCAGTACCCTGTATCTTGTTTGGAAATTTGCAAGCTAATTACCTAGTGTTGCCGTTTGAGTTCATGTTCAAGTCCAGTCTGTGTAAATGATGGAGATGCCACCTATCAAGATTTGAGTTGAGGTGTCTTAGGCACAGGTTCATGTATATAAACACAGACTTGTGTGTGAGTTGTATAACTTGGATTGTTCAGGGTTTAATAAGTAAGAGGAAAAGGGAGAGTGGCTACAAGTTTACAATGTGTCTTTATGTTACTTTGATTGACGTTATCGGTCTGTAGGAAAAATCAAACAATGAGACACCACACTCTTGATGAGATGCACAAGATGATAGGAGGCTCGTGAAGATGCGGTGCCGCGATCTGGACAAGAGAACGACTTAGACAAGAACCTCCACGGAGTCGCTAGAAAACACTAGGGCCACAAGCCTAAAAACCAAACCTACCCTAGATGACGATGCTAACTGATTTGATTGCACGAGGCAGTGGAACGGACTGATCATGGGAAGTTATTGGCCAGCTGACGACGTAGCGTTGGCTACTAAGGATGCTCATTGCTCTACTTTGTTAATATCTGTATGCAATAATAAGGTCTCAACCTCCTTGTGGAGGTACTCAAGATACAAAGCATATTCTCTTTAGGTGTGTCCTGGCAAGTTCTTTTGGAGCTGCGTTGTGGCTGAACCTTAGCTGGGGCCCAAACAACTTTTGTGACCTCTTCGGTATGCTTGTTAATGTTTCGGTTCAGCTCTCCGTGTTTTCTGGTTTGCTTTTGCTGCACAATCCTTGTCGCTTTGGATGACCCATAATAAGTTTAGGACCTTCTTTATGCAGCAATGTTTAAAATGATTACTTTTATGCAGCATCGACCACTGATTGCCTTGATCCACATTGCAGTATAGTATAAAAGATTACTTTTATGCAGCAATGTAGTACGCAATAATATGTATAGATGATTAAATTTTAATTAAGCTATCAACCAATATGACTCATACAATCTAGGAGTACATAAATGTAGCTTATATACTACTCTGCTAAATTAATACCAAGTATTGGAATAGTTGTCTACATTTTCTTTGAGAGCGCGTTAACAGATGATGCATTGGGATCTTCCCAAGAATTCTATACGGATTTCTGGAACAGAAGACAATATGAATATATGTAATGCAAACTATGAATGTTGAGTTCGATGCTGCACTAGGAGAGAGGTAATGCTTGCGAGCGGATTTGAGTTACTTGTCTTTCTTCACCTTTCTTGTCTTTATGTGCGATGTTTTCATTCGTGTCTCTCTCGTCTTTCTTCGTCTCCGCTGCAGTGTATGTAAGAGGTCTGCCTCGAATTCTTGTCTTTCTTCCTCAAACTTTTGCCTTTCTTCCTCGATGTTCCAAGACGATGGTGCCAATGTGAGAGGTGAGAGTAGGGTGGGGCGATAGCCCCCGAAAATGTTCCATTG